ATGCAGGCCAGGCTGGTCTCGAACCCCTGACTTTAGGTGATCCACCCGCCTCGGCCTCCCAAAGTGCTGGGGTCACAGGTGTGCGCCAGCACGCCTGGCCTTTTTCGTAATTTTTGTAGAGATAGGGTTTCACTAAGTTGCCCAGGCTGGTCTCCAACTGAGCTCAAGTGATCCGCCCTGCTGGGCCTCCCTAAGTGCTGGGGTTACAAGCGCAAGCCGCCGCACCTGGCCCTAATGTAGTTATGTAATGTGATTATGTATTTAAAGGCACAGCCCAGTGTACATTCCCTATAAGCCTGCCTTGTTATTTACCTAAGCCTCTCCCAACTCCTTTCAGCAGCCAGGGGGGTCTTTCTGTAGCTCAAATCTTTGTGAACTTGGCAAGCTTAAGGAGCCAAGTCTCACCGCCTCAATTTATACTCCGATTCCTTTTGCAAAGATTAGTTCTACAAAGTTCTAACTTCAGTGCTTTTTGTATAAACGCGGCATGGCTGGATACAGTACAGCGGGCGTCCCCCGATCTACCCTCAGACTTCATTATTTGGGAGCCCTTAGAATTACCGATCTCGGGGGTATCCGCAAGCGAAGAGGAAGAGGAGGAGGAAGAGGAGGAGACGGAGGGCGGGGTTGGGGGGCCTGGGGTCGGGGTCCGCAGCCCCAGTTGCTCCAGCACCTCCGAGTGGTCCCCAGGGTGAATGTAGTCGAAGACGCTGCTGCCCGTCATCTCCACCTGCCGGCGAAGGAGGTGAATGCAGGGGGCGGGTGAGGTGCGCGCGCAGTAACTCGCCGGCCCGCTGGGCTCAGCCTCGCCTCATTTGCCTGCATCCAGGTGCGCTTCATGCCAGTGCATTTTTTTAAGAAAAAAAAAAAATTACCTTTCAAACGGAAGATACCAACTTAGACTCTTCTCGCTTCATATCTGGTGATTAGTAAGGATTTTTCCCCGCCCACTCTATTAAAGGGCTGTGTGTGGGAGTGGGGCATGGGTGGGAGGTGTCAGAGCCTCCGTTTACCCAACTCCTGCTTACTCACTGCCACCCCCATACAGCAAACAACTGTGCCCTGGCATGAATCACTGGGTATCCCAGCAGATATGACATTCAAGATACAAACAGGGGAGTGGTTTTTAAGCTCTTAAAGAGTTGGAGCTTTTCAATCAAACACTTTTACATTCAATTCTACCTCATAAATCTCTCTCCCAGCAGTCCCCTGCTCTCCCTGCCTCCCTTGATCCAGGCCCCCATCTTCTCCCCACTGTGTTTCTGCCCTTGTGTCCCCACTGGTCTTCTGACCTACAGTTCAAAGATGCCTCTGCAAGTTACTTACCTGACCACCATGGCTGCCATGGCTCCTATTGCCCCTCAGCTTGGGGATCACATGCTTCCCTCAGTCTCTTATCCCTCTGGGCTCCTCCCCCTCATTAAATCCTCCCCCACACCTGCTCCAACAGCTTCAAGCCTTTACTTCTACTTCTGCTTTTTTTTTTTTTTTTTTTG